AAGTAAGTTCTCTGGCCCTCCCTTCCTCACAGGCTACGTGGCAGAGGCAGGAACTGCAGGAGGCGGGTGGTCCGCCCCGCAGACACCTACGGTGCCGATCCGGTGCCCTGCCGGTAAGGTGCACAGGAAGCCGGGGGGCAGCGCGCTGCAGGCCGCGCGCGGGAGCTGCAGCTGGGCCTGGATGGTGGCGCTGACCGCAGGCATGTAGGGCTGCAGCATGACGGACAGCAGGGCAGCGATGTTCACCGCCACACCCGTCACCGTCCCTGCCCGCTGCCTGCGGAGGAGAAACGGGGTCAGGGCCTCCGGCCGACTCGGACCGCCCGCCTCCCGGCCCGGGCTCCCGACGCCAGCCAGCTACCTGTCAGCCTCGCTGCCCTTGATCTGCTTCCAGGGCTCGTTCACTTGAATGTACTGGTTGCCGTGGCGCGACACGGTGAGGATGCTGCGCAAGGCGTCCCGGATCCTGGGAGGGGGCAGCCGGGGGTCAGGCGGAGGGGCCCGGCGGGCGCGTGGCCCCGGCGGGCGCCGCAACTCACCGGACCTTCTCCAGCAGCTGGTGGTAGCGCTGGAGCTCCCGGGAGACGTGGGCCAGCAGGCGCCGGTCGTCAGAGGTGAGCACCATCGCAGGCACAGAGCCCCCGAAAAACCTGGACACGAACATCCCGGCTCTTGACGGGCGCAGCGGAGGGAAGCAGAGGGGAGAGTTAGTGCCCAGCTCATTGGCACTTGACCTGCTCTTCATGATTGTTTTCTCAGACACCGGCCCCCCCACATTGGAAGGCAGATTAATCCCTTGTCCTCTTCCCCCTAAAAATGTGACTGCAGGTAACAGAACACTCACATACAGGTGCCCTCAGAGAGCCCTGACAAGGGTCAAGCAACTACTGGCACAGCCAGTACTCGGCTGACGGACCGGGAGACGCGCTCTCCGCGCTCCCCGAGTGCTCTGAGACGTGGGGGACGACCACACGGCAGGGCGGGAGCCACGGGAGAGGTTTCTTTAGACTCGCGTGACTGGACAGGAACCAGTGGCCGTGAGTGTAAGGAGCCTCCTCCCCACGCCATGCCCCTTCCTTCAGCCGAGTTCTTCAGGGACCTGCGCGTGACAGTCTTGCTAGGGGGACACACTTCCAAGTCTACTGAGAGCATTGAAAAGAAAACCTGGACACGTTCGCTAAATCAAACCCCTAAACTTGCCGAGTGTACACAGCCCACTCGAAGCCTCGGGAGACAAGAACCCGGCCTCCCGCGCCCACCGCTCAGTGCCTCCTGCTCACACGCGGCCTCCGCGTCCCCTGACGTGGCCAGCCCAGCCCGCTCACGTGCCGACTGGCTGCGCCCCGAGTCCCACCTGTTGATGAAGTTGCCCAGGTTGTTGAGGAGCTCAGAATTGTTTTTGAGCAACATGTCTGTCCAGGAGAAGGCGCTGTCCTGGCCCTCGGGCCGAATGTACAGCAGATAGAAGCGCCAGATGTCAGCGGGGATCCCTGTGTCCTGAGCCATGTCCCCGAACACTCCCACACCCCGGCTCTTGGAGAATTTCCCGTCCTCATAGTTCAGGTACTCTGGGCAGAGAGACGAGCGCCATCCGCTGAAAGCCCACTCCCCCAGGCCAGCTCTTCCCCTCCCTACCTCCCGGCAACACTTTCCCTTGAGCACTGGGTGTGAAGCTGCAGGCCCTCCCTGTTTTTTTTTTAACTGACTCTATTTCTGTGTGGACGAACTGGGTGCAGAATGGAGGCACAGGGACAGGTGGGGAGTTGGTGAGAGGATTCACCAGAGTGGGGAGCAGCACAGGCAAATCGACTGAAACACTGCTGGGGAAGCAGTGGGCAGACAGGAGGGGTCTGCTGCGCTCTGGGGGGTCCCTCCCTGGCCCGGGGGCGAACTCAGGCCGCAGCTTGGTGACAGTGCCGAATCTTAGCCCCAAGGCCTCTGGGGGGCCCATTCTGGCCTTGTTAGATTCCTTTCACTTTCCATTGCAAAGTTCTAGCTTCAGACATTTGATGTCTCGGATTCTTGTTAACTTCGCATTTCTAATTATTTTGTCTCAACTCCTAACTCAAGAGCAGGCACCACTCAGGATCTTGTCCCAAGCGCTGCCTCAGCCCTCAGTCCATGTGAGCACCCCGTCTCCAGCCCACAGTACCTGTGGCAATGAGGTGGCTGACCAAGGTGTAGTTGTCCTCAGCACCCAGGGCTGAACAAGGAAAAACTATGCCGTGGAAAGGAACGTTGTCTTTGGCCATGAACTGATACAGGGTCACCTATGAACAGAGTTGGGGGACAGAATGCCTGAGACGTTCCAAGGCCCGAGGAAGACCAGGTCCGGCTTCAACGCGCACACCCCTCCCCACTGCACCGACAGGCTGACAAAGCTGCTCACGTGCTCTGGGTTCTTCCACCATCTCTCCCACTGGTCGGTGTAGTTGGCAGTGATGGACAAGTAGCCGATCGTGGCATCAAACCAGACGTAGAATACCTGGAGAGTCGCGGGGACGGGCGTGGTGGGTGGAGGGACTGCCAGCCTCGCCGAGCCGCTCCAGCATGTGAGGGCATCACAGCGCCCCCTCTGCGGCCAAGCGCTGCGCACGACGGCTAGAGGGCTCCTACCTTGTCCTCAAAGCCTTCTAAGGGCACAGGGGTTCCCCACTTGAGGTCTCGGGTGATGCAGCGTGGCTTGAGGCCGTCCCGGAGCCAAGAACGGGTGATGAAGCGGGCATTGGGTGTCCAGTCGCTGCCAGGCAGCGTCGCCCCCAGCCACGCCTCCACTCTCTTCTCCAGCTGAGGGCAGAGGGAGACGAGGACGGAGGGAGAAGTCTCACACACGGCGGGCAGAGGTGGCAGAGGCACGCGATGTACAGTTAAATATAGAATCTCAATATCTAATTAGAATCAAGACGCATGACTCCGATATACCGGCTCCGCACCTCCTCAACAGAAGTACCCGCGGCGAGTGCAGTGACATGCGCGCGGAGAGCGGGTCGTCAAACGAGCTTGAAACGCCCATGCTGAGAATGGAAAGGAGTGGGTGTATCTTACAGTGAAATACTTAAGGGTCACTAGAAAGGCCGAGGCAGAGCCAGCAAAGGGGCAAGAAGACCTGGGAGACACCACTAGAGAACCAAGCGCCAAGCGACGCGCGACCGGGCTGATGTCACGTAACGGCACGCAGGCTAAGGAATCCTCCCGCAATTCTGAAGGCAGGTATGTACCAGGGCTTTACTCTCAGGGGAGTCCACATTTTATGACAATCCAAGTTTGAAGACAAGCTTGCCTCACTTTTATTAGGAGAAAAGGACCAATTTGCGTAAGGGACGGTCTGCGTGACCGATCACATTAAGCGCCACAGCACACTTCAGAGAAGCACGTGTCTGGGGTGCGGCTGGGTGCAGTGCACACGTGACCGGCAGGAATGCAAAATGGGTAACAGGTGTTGAGGAAAAACACTGAGGGGAATTTGCAGTAAGGTTCATGCAGTTATCCTTGCCTCTGCAAACGATCGCTTTTAGGGAATTTACCCTAAGGTACACTTCCAACAATACAAAAATAGGCAGGGTTCACTGACTGCCGTGTAAACCTGCACTGCCCAGTACCAGAGACTCCCTGGACGGCAGAATCGGGAGGTGGGCGGGCGGTGTGACACCGACGCACATGATGCGTGTTCGCAGCTGTGAAAAAGGTCAGGAGATCTCTAGGGACTCTTTGGAGTGGCCTGGTGTGGAGAATTTCCAGAATGTACTGTCAGATAAAAGGCAATATTCAAAGGCCTTACAGAGCACACTCCTGCTGTACGCTCAGCGAGCGCTACACACAGGCCGCCCATCAGGGTGTCTGCGCATGCGTCTGTCTGCTCTGCTTTGCACGAGTGAACACACGGACGGTCAGCCAGCGACGGCGACAGAAGCGAGGGCAGCAGAGGCCGGAGTGACCCTCAGGGCGCCGTCGTGCTCTTCAGGGGTACACTGGTGTCAGACTAGTCGGCACACAAGTCAGCCAGGACAGGGATAAGGGACTGAGTCTCCTTATTTCAGCAACAAGCACACGGAACGGAAACACGCGGCGTGGGCACGCGCTCATGGCTGTGCGCCCTCCGTGGGGACAAGCTGCCGGCAAACCCTAAATGCGAAAGGCCGCCCTGTGCTGGGAGGGCGAAGCCTTCGGAAAGGCCTTCTGGGCGCGGTGGGGTTACACAGACGAGCGCGTCACCGGGCCGGAGCCATCTGCTACTGGAGAGCTGAGTGCGAGACAGGGAGGGAGGGAGGAGAGCGGCGGGAGGGACCAGAACCCCGAGCATTATGTGGAACCAACAAACGCCCAATTCTCTTTGCTAAAAGCAGAGTGGCGACAGCAAGGCAGCAGGAAGAAGCAAGCGTCGGGCAAGAGGGCTTTGTGAGAATCGGCTGGTTCTCAGGCAGGACCAAGGTAAAGCGCGAACATCTCGTTAGCCAAGAAGGAAGTAACCGGACCATGGCGGGAGCGCGCCGAGGCACCCGGGCACCACCCGACGCTCCCTGGTCGAAACGGGTGCCGTGTGAACATGAACTGATGAGGACAGGCGGAAGACTCTGAGGCAGCCTCAGGACCCCGCTGGGGGAGGCGCTGACTCGCTACGTGCAGCTGCGGAGGGAGGGTGTGGCGGGAGACCCTGGAACCGCTGCCGGTGGGGGATGAGGTATCGGTGCCTGACGTGGCAGGCACTTTTCGTGAAAAACGAGGCATTCTGAAGTGTATTTCCACAGACCGCTCTTAAGTTCCAAGGAGAAAAACACCACACAGTGGCAGTGGCAGCCATGTGCCCGCCAGGACGGCCGCGCGCGGCCGTGAGGAAACGCCCAGACTCAGAGTGAGGACCACTGTGCCAAGGGAGCTCACACCTACATTCTACAGTGTCTAATGTCATCGAAAGAGAAGGCTGCAGAACTGCTGCAGATAAGCGCGCTCCATCCTGAGCTACCGGCAGAGTCTTCAGGAAAGGAAAGCCGCAAAGAACACCGCCGGCGTACGCGACAGAACTGGAGTACGCACGGCAGAGCAGAACACCATCATCATTAAATTAAGGTGGCCGCTGTGGCCAGGCAGGAATATGCCCCTGCCCTTGGGAAGCACACACGTGCGTGCGTAAGCAGAGCGGCACAATGCCCTGCGGCGACCGGGCAGGGTCCTCACGCAGCAGGCTGGGCCGGGGCGTGAGGTTCGTTGGGGCCAAGATGTTCTAGCAACTGCAATTCCTGCAATCTTGAGGGAGAGCTTGAAACCATTTCCAAATAAAGGTCAGAAAAGGAGGCAAATCTATTAACTTGCAAAGTCAGCGAAGACACCGGCAGCCAAGAGCAAGCAGGCGGCCAGGGCCGGCAGGCCGCGCTCCAACTTGGAGCGACCGGAAGTGCTTCAGGGCGGACGGGTCTTCCCAACACAGGCGCGAGCGGGGCGCGGGAGGCCCGCGTGCCCACGCGCCCGGGCTCCCGTGTGCCCTCGCCTGCTGGCGTCTTTCCTCACGTGCGTGTACAACCCCGTGTGGGCAGTAAGACACTCGCGAGGACTCGGGACAGCTGCGTGGCCGGGCAGAGGCCACGCGGACAGGGGGGGAGGGCCACTTACTTTCGGCAGGTCCAAGAACAGGTGCTGAGAGGATTTCACAACAGGGCAAGACCGGCAGATTTTACACTGAGGGTTCTGGAAAGGGAAATCGAGCAGAAGGGGCGAGTGAGGGTTAGGGTTGGTGCTGACCCGGTAAACGCTGGGGCTAACGGCGGAAGGCGGCTCTGGGCCCTCGCCCCACCTGCCTCTCCCCGACTGCCTACCTGACAGCGCTCTTTGGATGACCAATAGGGACCCCACGGGAAGCTGCCACCCCACCTGGCCTGTGTCTGCAGACGGCGCCACCCCGCGTTGCTCCAGGCAAAACCTCAGAGTCCTCGTTTCCTCACTCCTTTCTCAGGCCAAATCGCCTGTGTCCACTTCTTTGGGGTCTGGGCTCTACCCCCAAAACATGCTGCCAGCCTTCTTTTTCACTTCTACTGCTAATAACCCAGTCTACGGCGCTGTCATCCCGCCCCTGGTTCTTCTGCTTGGAACCCCTGTAACCGACTCACGCCTGGCTTGCTCACCCTGTTCTGCAGCGAAACTCTAGGCTCCGTGTCACCCTCTGAAAAGCCCCCCAGTATCAAACTCTTCTTCCCCCAGAAACTACGATCACATCTTCCCCGTAATTTTTCCTGCAGTCACATTACCACGCTCCTCCTTATCCAGTTTTGCTTTCCATCGTTTCATCTAAACAAGGTCAACTGAGATCTGAAAAGACTGTACAACAGAATGCTCGAGGCTTTATAAAACAGCTTCACATACACTTTTTTATAACACATTACTGCACTGTCCTCGTTGGCTATTCGTTGTTACCTCTTCCTGTCCTGATCTGTAAATGAAACTTCACCACGGACTGGCAGGAGGGGAACCTGCACAGACTCAGGACCCATCGGGGCGGGGCCGCGCCCAGGGCAGTGGGGTACGCCAGCATTCCCTTGTTCGGAGCCGGTGCCCCCTGCCCGGAGTCTGTCCCATTCACTCTGCATCCCCAGACACTAGAATCGGAACGAACCTATCTGAAGGACTCACAAAATGTTTGTGGAAGAAAACGGACAAAGGAGGGAACATGGACAGACGAGACAGTGCTCAGGGTAGAGAAGAAAATGAAGCGCAGGCGGCCTGGACAGCACAGGGAGGGCCACACCGAGGCAGCGGCACTCGCCGGGCCAGGACAAGCAGGCCGGGTGAGGGCCGCGGCGGCAGGCCCCGAGGCTGACATAAAGGCCCCGGGAGGGGCGAGCTGAGGGCCTCGTCACAGCCCCAGGGGGCCTGCGGCTCACCTTGAGCTCGATGGCGTTGATGAGCTTGCCACACCTGTCACACTGGTCACCCCGGGCCTCCTCGTAGCTGCAGAAAGGACACACGCCCTCCACAAAGCGGTCGGCCAGGAAGCGGGCGCAGCGCTCGCACCGCAGCTGCTCCACGGTGTCTTGCAGGACAAAGCCTCGCGCCAACAAGCGCTGGAAGATGTCCTGGGTGATTCTGGTGGGGGCGCAGGGGCAGGAGGGGCAGCTCAGAGGACGGGGCACACCCTCCTGCCACTCCCACTCAATCCAGTGCCGAGAACCGAGGCTGGCGGCCCCTGGGGGAGGCCAAGGCCAGAGTCCCCTTTGGGGCACTTTGCTAGGCGTGCAGAGGCCTCAGGCACACTCATCCTGCTACTTCATTTTGCTGAATACAAAGCTAGCAAAACTCCCCAAAAGGGTGGGAGCAGGCCTGCTCATTAACATGCCCTAAAAATTACAGTTAAATCTGCCCAGCTGTCAACCCCTACGGCGCTGTCAGCCGGGCCTGTCAGCCGGGCCTGCCTGCCCGCCGCGCACAGGGGTCGTCCGCGATGGGCTGTGAACGCACGGCGGCAGGGCCGTGTCTGAAGTTCCCTGCCGGCCGGACACAGGAGGGGCCGTGAGGGCCTCTCTCAGCCGCTCCTTTAACCCTCGGTCAGGCTCCTGGGCACACCAAGCCCTCCCTAGAGCCTCGGGTACATTCTGGACTCACTGCGATCTCACTTTTGGGGGTGCAGCGTAAGCCGCCCTCAGAGCGCCTCTGCGCTGCCCCGCCCGCGCCCTCCAGCCTCAGCGGCAGAGGAAACCTACGTGGTCTGCTGCGGAGTTGTGGTGCGACCGAACACGTCGAAGGAGATGGCAAACCAGCGGTAGATGGAGGCGTGGATGGCATGATACTTGTCGCAGATCTCGCGGGGGCTCAGGCCCTCCTCCATGGCCTTGGTCTCTGTCGCCGTGCCGTACTCATCGGTCCCACACAGGTAGAGGGTGTTCCAGCCGCGGAGGCGGGAGTACCTGCAGGGCACGTGGGGCACAGGGAGGCGTCTCGCCCCGCCCTGTCCCGGCCCCCCCAGCTTCCCCCTGCCCCCTGCGGCATCCTGCCCTGGGGCTCACTCCCCGCAAGGGCCCCGCTCAGCAGCTGGCTCCACCTGGCAAAGACGTCAGCACTGAGCACACAGCCAATGATGTTCCCGAGGTGCGGGACGTTGTTGACGTAGGGGAGCGCACTGGTGATGAGCACGTTCCTCTCTCCAGCCACAGGCAACCTGGCCGGGAAGACGAGACGTTCTGTGGGGGAAAGCGTCAGAGGGGGCTGGGGCATGCACTCTGGCCTGCGCCACAGGTCCGTGTATAGCTGACGTCTTTCCCCCACAAACCCTCCAAAATTAAAGGCCAGAGGGCCCCCTGGTGGCACAGGGTTAAGTCTCAGCACTGTGAAGCTCCACAGCCCCTGCACCACGAGTTCGATCGCCGCCAGGGAGGGACCCCAGGGCGCAGCAGCCCTCGCCTGTCTCCCCGCTGCTCCCCTCAGCGGTGGGTCTCAGTAGATCTGCCTGTTCTGCTCCCCACTCTGTCTCTGGCAAGTGCTCTCATCCCCCCACACCTCTGGCCTACACCCCAGTTCTCTACAAAAGTAAATCTTCAAAAAGCCAAACAAAGGAAGTCTGAGAGGAAAAAGCTGGGAAATTAAAAAAGAGTCAGCGAAGGAGCCGCAGCAGACAGACATCAGCTCTACGCGGCTCCCACCTAAGAAGCCAACCCCTCATCTGCGCCTGCTCACACGGGGCTCTGCTGCGGCCGAAGCGGAGGCAAGCTTCCCAGGCCGCTCTCCCACGCGGTGACAGCCGCGGCGATCTCCTCCTCAGACAGGGCGGCCGGCTCCTCCTCCTAGGAGAGGGAGCCCCACACAGGTGAGGGGCATGTGCGGCGAAGAGCGTGCCACGCTCTAAGTCCCCCTCCGTGCCGCCCCCCGCCCCTCCCGGCACTCAGGCTCTGTGGGGACCCCGGTGCTCTTTTGCAAACCTCAGGTTCATTGCTGACAGCCTTCCCCTCCAGGGGCCCGGGCTGGGGCAGCTTTTGCAGGTAGGGCCGGAGGGCCATGACACCCTGCTGCTTGAGCATCGTCTCGGCGGCGCGCTGGCACGGCTCCTGAGAACTCAGGGTCTGGAACCAGTCGTGCAGGGCGCCCAGCTCCTCTACGGGCACAGGAGCACGTCAGCAAGGCCTGGCGCGGGGAGGCAGCAGCGGACAACCTCCCTCCGTGAGCGGTCTCCAGGGCCTTCCCGGCTCCCTCGTCATCTTTCTGCCGTGACCGACTTCCCTGCGGAGCTGCACCTTAAACGGCCCTCAACTTGCAGTGTAACCCTCAGCGGGGTCAGGGTTAGGGCCCACGAGACAGCCCCAGCGCTCACCAGGGAGGTAGGCTGGGTCCTGGAGTAGTGGATACAGCGCGCCCCACAAAACGATGTCAGCGAGAGATTCTGTCTCCTTTGTTGGGGAACAAAGAGGGGAAGGTAAGCCCATCTTCGGTGTCTTCCCAGTGGTACTAATAACGCCCAAGGTTTCCTAAGCGCTGAGCACACGTCACACTGGCGTCAGCCCTGTAAATCACCTCAATGCTCACGACAACCCGGAGGCAGGGGCTAGTGTTGCCCCGTTTCAAAGACGAAACAAGAGGATTAGAGTCGAGTGATTTTTCAAGGTCACACTAGCAGGAAGTGGCAGCGCTGGGGTCCGAGCACACTGAATTGTCTTCCTTCTTAATTCTTAGGACACCCGGCCTCCCCGGGCGCCCAGCTGAAGGCCCCACTCACCCCGGCCAGGAAAGGGCAGCTCCGGTGACTCAAGCTGTGGTTGATGTGAGTCAGGGCTCTCCGGACTGGCCCGAGGACATCTTCCCCCTTCTTGCCTTGGACCACTAGGTAGTAGAGCGCGGCAGACAGAGCTGGCTGGAAGGCAGGCACACGGGTCAGGAGGGCCAGGAAGGCCAGCCGGGTCGGGCGCCCGCGCTCCCGGGTCGCAGCCCCACCTGCAGTTCCGTTGCTTCCCATTCCAGCCACTGGTTGGTGAGGTCATCTTGCTCCCAGCCAGACAGCAAGAAGAAATACCTGCCCCGGGAGCCAACAGAGTGGAGTGAGACGGGCCCTTGCGTCTAGCCCATCTCTCAGCCCACAGTAAAAGCACGGAGGACGGTCGCACAGGACAGCAGACCCTGATCTGAGTGACCTCCCCAGCATCAGAGACCAGGACTGACCGGCAGATTGCACTCGTGGTGAAGAGATAGTTGCCGCTATCCAGCTGCAAGGCAGGGACCTTAGGCCGGGTCAGGAATGGGACCACACACTCTGATGTAGAGGAAAGTGGGTGGAAAAGCAGAAGAGATGCTTGTCAACGTGAAGGAACAACCTAGCACCGCTCGGGGCAACGGGAAGCTCATGGGCCACCCGGCCCAGAGGCTGCAGGGTAGGACCTGAAAGGGGTGGGTCCAGAGCGCTGGGCAGCGGGGCAGTTGAGCCTGCCAGCTGGACACAACAGATGGGACTCGCAGAGGAGGGGGTGCACGGGGTAGCGCTGCGGGCAGAACCAGAGCAACTGGGGGCGGGCGGGCTCCGAGGGCCTGAGACAGCAGAGGGAGGAGCAGCAGCGCCGAAACCCGCTGGAGTCAGCCAGATGGCAGCTGGCGACGAGGCGGTAAGCCCCAAGAGGGGTTCAGGAGGGGGCGCCCTAAAAACGGCAGAAAGGCTCCCGGGGGTGGTCACACGAGGGAGGGCGTGCGAGTGCAGGGAGGAGTGGGGTGCGGAGCAGGTGTGGGAGGTTCGCTAGAACGGGGTGCGGGAAGGCGAAAAGGGGAGCTCTGGCCGACTGAAGGCGACGGCGGGCCGGGACGGACGGCGGGCGCGACGGGGAGGAAGAGCGGCCGGGGCCGCGGCCGCGGGGGCCGCCGTGGGGGGCTCGGGGCAGGTGCGACCCCTGCGGGAAGGGGGGGGCATGCTCGGTCCCGCCCCTCCGCACCACCCCAGCACCGGCCGGACTACCTTCCGGGCCTACAGTGCTGATGAGCAGCTCCGCCCGGCCCCGGGCCCGCCCGGCCGCGGCCAGCACCGGGAGGCTCCCTGGGGCGCCCTCGCTCACGAACAGTCTCATTTCGCCGTGGATCGCACGCTGATGCAACCGGAACCGGCCTCCCGCCTGCCGGCTGAGCGGCCGCCGCGAGGCACGTCGGGAAGTGTAGTTCTGAGCCAGGCGGCCCCGCGCCACCCTCCCGCACAGCGGACTCTTTCTCCCGTCATGCAGCACTGGGAAACAGGAAGCGGGTAGCATAGAGTCGGGGGCGTGCCCTGGGGCTGTGCTAGAGCGGCACTCTGGTGGGCGGGCCAGGGGAGACGCCTTTGGGGCGCACGTGGGAGCGCTCAGCGCCACTGAGCCTGCTCGCGTTTACCGGTCCAGGCTGGAGTGATAATGTCTTGTCAGCGGTACTCATCGTGGCCCACTCTTCACCCGAGTAATAAGAATGATGTAGTTTCACGAGTTGGGACACAATCGAAATTAGTGTAGCGATCGTATTAATAAAAAAAGAATGTGACTATTAAATACTGATGGAACAAGTTAACACTCAGCACCGCCAAACAGTTTCAGTAAAGGGGGAGGGAAGCGGTGAGGTGGGTCTGGTTGAGAGGAAATAGGAAGGCGAGAGTTTGACGGTACATCTACATCACTGGAGGGAGAAGTGAGAAATGCACCCTACGACACCTCTGTACCCCTTTAAAATTAAGTCCCTGATGGTTCCGACCTTCCTAAGCACTTTACGTATGTTAACTAGTTTAATTCCCAAAAAGCTCTATGGCGGTCTGGATCTTTTGAAGCCAGGTTTCAGAAACTTTACTCCTCCGCCCAGGCTTTTAGAGCCGCCGGTGGCCAGCGCTGCCTTGTAAGAAGTCTCACACCCTGAGACCGCTATTCAGGGAAGGTCTTTTGTCGCCATTCCAAGTGACAGATCCCGGCAGTCCAGTCATCCCTACTAAGGTGACGCTCTCCAGGCCACCTGAACACCAAGTGGCCCTGCTCAGTGCCACCCACACTGAGCAGAAGAGTCACCAGTCTGAGCCCTACCAAACTTCTACCCTTAAATTGCTGTAGCAGAACAGTTGAGTTTAGCAAAATACAAACGAAGACTCGGTTCTTTCCTTCTCATTTCACCGCTGAAGGAACTGAGGCATTGAAGATACAATTATCAACAGAATTCATACAGGCTGTGCCTTGGCAGACTTCACAGACTTCCTGGAAAGTCAGAAAATCAAATCCTCAAACTGTGACTGACGCCTATTACGGCTGGGAGTCCTGCTCTGGGTCCCCGCCAGACTCAGGAGTCGAGAGGGCCCTTCCTGTGCCAGTGAGCCAGATGAGAACCGAGTAACCGTTAGCCGGGCGAAGGTCAGTGAGATGAGAGAGAAATCACTTCAGCAGAGGAATCCGCGTTTGCAGCGCTGCAGAGCCCTCCACGCCCTTTCAGGAAGCGGGGTCGCGGCGGGCTAGAGGGGAGAAGCCTCCTCACGCATGCTGCAAAATGTGCACTCTACTCTGAGGACAGTGAGAAACTTCTGAAAGGTTAGGGCAGAGGCGCAGAAGCGTGTATTTGTGTTGGAGAAAGGTCTCTCTGGTTGCTGTGTCAGGAAAGGACTGAAGGAGAGCATTACTGAATGCAGTGAAGTTAATGAGGAGGCAGATGATTCCTGCTGAAGAACATGGCAGTTATAGGGATTTTTAAAAGTAAGTAGATCAGGGCCCTCCCTGATGGCACAGCGGGTTAAAGCACAGCACTAAGAAGCTTAAGCCACTTTCGCATGAGTTCGATTCCCGCCTGCCTCAGAGGAGATCCACATGGCGTGGCAGACCTCTCCTGCTTCTCCCGCTGCTCCCCTCAGCAGTGTACTCCGTCGACCTGCCTGTTCTGCTCCCCACTCTGTCTCTGGTGAAGCCTCTCACCCTCCACATCTCTGGCCTTTACCCCAGTTCTATATGAATAAATAAATCTTTAAAAAAAAAAAAGTAAGTAGATCAGAAAGATTTAGTCATCAGTTAAATTTGAGAGGTGAGAAAGGAGGAGGAAGTCAGGTCAGTCGTCCAGTTTCAAGCATGCGCAAGTGAACCTGCTATGTGCTCCCACAGATGACAGTGTCCCTCATCCGAGTGGCGATCACACTGTGTTCTAATGGTATTGCGGGCAGGGGCCATATTTGTCATCTTAACTGACACTGACGAGCAGAGAGCCCCCACCTGGCAATACAGTATTCAGTATTCCATATGCGTCTGTTGACTTTAAATGTAACTGAATTGTGGTACTGGGCGAAGCGGCCAAGTTCAGTGTGCAACATGCTATTTCTGTGGTCCCTGTGAAATATCCAAGTGGAGTTTTTCAGCGGGCATTGTAATAGGCTGCAGTTCCAAAGAAAGATCTGGACTGGAGAGCATGTGGAGGTCATTTGAGCTGGAAGAGAATAAGACCACCTCGGATGTACAGGAAGCAGAGGGCATAGGATCTCAGACAGATCTTGGGGTTTAAGGAGCGAACAAAGGGAGACCTTCCTGTGCATGACATAGGGCGGCCAGAAAGCAAGAGGGTCACCAGCGGGGTCTAGAGGAAAGGCCAGTCAAGTGTGTTGGCTGCTGCTGAACTGTCAGGGTGCAGGAAGACCACAAAGCGTCCATGCGAAGGCGGGGGCGACCCCAGTGACCTTGAAAAGGAGAGGGGGCAAGAAGCCATGTGTGTCAGCAACACTTTGAACCAGCTTGTGAAAAGGAAGAGTGAGGTAGGGTGATAACCGGAGAGCACAAGAAAGGGAGGCTTATCCAAAGATGGGGGAGACGTAGGGGCCTTTAAAAGCTGGTGGGAAAGGAGGGAGAGATGGACGTGCCAGCACGCGGCAGAGAAGGCAGAAGCGGATCAGATGCATGGAAGGATACTGGGAACGTCGCCACTGGCCCGTTATGGAAATGGGAAGGGAGAGTTGCAGGGTAGATGCTGTTTGGGCACAAGCAAAGGTGACTGAGGCAGAAGCCTGGTACCTGCAACCCGGACTCAGATCACAGGTCAGAGGAAAGAGCTGCCTCTCCGATGTCACCAGGATGGGGGTGCACTCCCTACTCCATCTCTCCAAGCCCCCACACTGGGGGGGGGGGCGGAGGGGGGGGGGGGGGGGGCGGCCAGGGGAGAGGGAAACGCCAGTGTGAAATTGAAAGCTCTGACACTTGGTAGAGGAAGTCAGCGCCTACCTCCCCCAGAACGAAACCGCCAGCCACCCCGGGGTGCCGGCCCTGGCATCGCAGCTGCACTGCTTTCCCGGGGTCCTGACTCAGGCACTAACTGTACCGTGTCCGTAGCGGGGTCTGTACTTAAATTCCAAACCGCCAGGCGGTGTCTGTCGCCCTCCTCGCTGTGATCTCCGTACCCAACACATCCTTCACGCAGGGGGTCCGTGATTGCTCCTTCTGAGAGAGTGAAGACTGAACCCTCTCTAGGGTGGGGGGCCCCACCCTAGAGACTCCTATATAAAGGATCCCAGCAAGGCTTTCGGCACCCCAAAACGGTCCTGGATTGATTGGGAGTGGTGATAGGGCCCCGGTGTTCTTCTGCCTGACACTAAACCTCGCTACTCCTCCCGGGCACTTTCTCAAGGCAGATCAGAGTAGTCCCCGACTCTGGCTCTGGCTCTCTGGCCCTGCACAGGAAGCAAGCAGCCCCAGGCCCGCCAACTGGGGATGGAAACAGTGACGTCCTGTACATTTCACACAGGGTGACTGACTGACAGTTTTTCAAAAAACCCCAGCTGTGAGCTCTGTCTCCTGGGCCCTTCACCACCTCAGAGCTGACTCTGTCTGTCTTCTGGTGTCCTCTCAAGAATCCCAGACCAGCTTCTCCGGTCCACCTTCCGATGGACCCCGCAGACAGCGGGAGTAAAATCACCACGCGAGGCCAGCTCTCTGATTTCCTGCCCCGCTGGTCCCACAGCTGGCCACATCCTCTCTCACCTCATACACTTCCTCCTCACACAGCACCAGACGTTCATAGCCCGACACTCTTTCACTGACCCCCACCCAGGCCGGCTGCCCGCTCTTACAGCCCCTGTGCTCGTCTCCGCCGTGACGCTGCTCAGAACCATGTCTCTCTGCCTCTGGGCAGTCGATCCTGTCCCTTTCTGGAGCTCCAACACCTTTTTCTCTCACAGGTGACAGTACTGACCGCCATGCTGTCAGGCAGGTGGTGGCCCAGTGCCTGGGGGAGCCTAGGGCTGGGGCCCCGGAGTGCATCTCGGGGAGCCCAGCTCTGTGCCCTCTATGCCTTCACTTACACTGCGGCAGATGGCCGGCAGGTATCTCTGGCTGAAGGGGACAGGTTCCTACTGCTCCGAAAGACCAACTCAGACTGGTGGCTGGCGAGGCCTCTGGGCGCCCCCTCCACGTCTCGGCCCATCTTCGTGCCTGCTGCCTACATGATAGAGGAGGGACCCCCCCCTCCCCGGAGCCCGACTGCCTCTGCCGCTGGCCAAACTCCCCAGAGGCCTGGTGAGTGAGCCCTCTCCCTACCCCCACCGCCGTGGCCGCTGGGCACTGCCAAAGGACTGCCGCTGCTGCTCGCCCCCTTCCTTACCCACTCTGATCAGCCTACTCCCCACGCCCACCCTGGCACCCCATCGCCTCTCCGACCCTCAAGACTTCTAGGCGCACGTCCCTTCCACAGCCCCTGTCCTCTCTCGGCCTGTGGCCCGCTTCGGTCCGACCACGCCTCTGACCACCTACCCTCTCTCCAGCCTCTGTTCCAGGCCCCCGGCTGCTCCCCGGCTCCCTGGGGGAGTTGCACCTGTCTCAGGCACCCCCGGGTGGAGATGGAGAGGGGGCTACTTCCGGTCTGCCTCCTCCTCTCCCCCCCAAAATGTGGAGAAGTGTCAGCGTCACCAGTCTGAGGCCCACCGTCCAGCAGCCCTTCCCGGAGGGGCAGCGCAGGAGGTCGCGCTCCCAGGAAGACCTTCTGATGGAGGCCAGCAGCAGCAGGGTGAGTCAGCGCCGCTGGGCCCTCGGGGCGGCAGGACAGACACAACCCCTGTCTTGCGGCTCAGCACCGCCAGTCCCTCCAGGGAGGGGGCCCCGCTCCCTGGCTGGTGGATGAACCAGACCTGGCCCAGGCTGCGGGAGCTGGGGTCTCCGACCCCTCTCTATCTGCTCTTACCGGGAGGATGTGAGGGCGGTAGGTGGGTGCTCCCCAAACCCGCCCCTTACATGTACACACCAAAGCCTGTTCCCCTTTCTTGTGGCCCTGGGTGGGGTGGAGTGGGGGAGGCGGGAAGTTGGCAACAGGAAGTGAGGAGAAAAGCAAAGACCGAGGGAGGGTTAGAAAATGAAATAAAACAACACAGGCCGGCCACAGTCCCTGGGGCCCCTCTCCCAGCCCCGGGGGGCACCCCAGCCAGAGGCCAGGTGAGGACTACTGGTAGGGGACAGAAGAGGAGGCGTTAGGGGGACGGGGCGGCCCGGCAGGCGCCTACCCCTTGCTTCCCCTCTCTGGCAGGCAGGCCCCCAGCCCCCCATGTCCGAGCCCCCCGTGTACTGCAACCTGGTGGACCTGCGCCGCTGCCCCTCCTCCCCGCCCCCCAACCCCGCGTGCCCCCCGCTGCAGAGGCTGGACGCCTGGGAGCAGCATCTGGACCTCAGCTCCGGACGCTGCTTCTACGTGAACTCGCTGACCGGCTGCAAGTCCTGGAAGCCCCCTCGGCGCGCGCGAGCCCGCGAGCCCGTGAGCCCCTTGCACGCCCCCCCACCTGCCCTCCCGGGAGCCTCCGGGGCGTTTTCTCTCCCCCTCACCCCCTCCCCCAGGGGCCCTCAGAAGCCTCAATGGTGAGAAGGTGTAGAGAGCCCCGTGGGGGTGGCCTGGGGTGCAGCTCTCCCTCCTGCTCCCCCAGAACCCTGACTCCATGGACGGGACACCCACCCAGAGTAGGGACCACGGCGACCGGCACCCTCAGGCCAAGAGCCCTGGAGACCACCCCGGAGACCAGCCTGGGAGCCCAGAACTGCTCAGCCCGCAGGTGAGCGCTCGCCCTCGCCCAGATCACAGGCTGCGAGAGTCATCCTTCCACAGCTTTCTCTTTGTGCAAGGTGTTCTTCCACACCCACCACCCTGCCCCTTGCTCACATTGGCACCCCGCTTCCCCTTACAGCCGGGGAATCCCAACCTTAAGGATACCCAACCGGTTTCTAATGTCCTCCCTCAGGGCCCCCCCGGCCTCCATCAGGGGAGCTCCCAGCATTGCCCTTCAGAGCAGCCTCCAGCCCTGCTGTCCCCCCGACCCCTGCCCCAGGTCCTCGAGGACCCCCACGTAAGTCCCCGCCTCCTGGTGAATGTCAAGACCCCCCCAGCTCCCAACTTCTTCTTAGGAACAGCTTCCTCTTTTTGAGTATTCTCTGGATATCCTCTTGAGCCAGTCTTCCGCACCCCCCAACTTTAAAGGCCCCCACTCCTGGGCAAGCCCACAGGACTTTCCCTGTGGGCTGTGACAGACCTTGGGTGACCTTTGCTCCACTTCCCAGGAGGTGGAAAAGTCTGGTCACCTCAACGTGACCAAGATCGCCCAGGGCGGGCGCAAGGTCAGGTGAGAACAGGGACCGGCTGGGGCGGGCTGCCGGGGCCCAGAGGCCGGCCAGGGTTGGGAGGGTGCCCTGGCCAGCCTAAGTGACCTTTGCGTTTCTGCCACTGCCCTGTGCCCCCGCAGGAAGAACTGGGGCCCGTCCTGGGTGGTGTTAGCTGGGAACAGCCTCGTGTTCTACCGGGAGCCCCCGCCTGCCTCCCCCACCTCCTTCTGGGTGAGTGTGCGGAAGACAGGGTGGAGGAAAACGGGGTGCCGGCGTCTTTCAGGCACACTTGTCATCCTCCTCGGGTCAGCTGTGGGGGCGCCCTCGCGCAGAGAGTAGGAAAGAGCCCCAGAGAGGGGGACAGCCGGCCCCCCGCCGGCCTGGGCCGGCTGGGAGCGCACGGCCCTGCCTCAGTTTCCACCCTCACTAGGGCCCAGCGGGCAGCCGCCCGGAAAGCAGCGTGGACCTTCGCGGGGCGGCGCTGGCCCACGGCCGCCACTTGTCCAGCCGGCGCAACGTCCTGCACGTGAGTCGAGTCGCCACCCGCCCGCGACGTCGGGCCTCCGTTTCCGCGCGGCCTCGCGCGCGTCCGCCTCCGCCCCTGCGGCTGGCGCTGCTCTGCTCGCCCCGACTGAGCCTTCCCCGCGCCCGCAGATCCGCACCGTCCCGGGCCACGAGTTCCTGCTGCAGTCGGACCAGGAGCCGGAGCTGAGAGCCTGGCACGGCGCGCTGCGGGCGGTCATCGAGCGCCTGGTGGGCGAGAGGGTGGAGCGGGGTTCAGGGAACGCTGGGGTGCGCGGCGGAGGTGGGGCCCCAGCCGGGCCTGTGGGCTCCTGGCTGCACTCGGGGCGCCGGGCTGTCTTCCAACCCCTCCGCCTGGGTCTAGGACCGCGAGAACCCCCTGGAGCTGCGCCTGTCGGGCTCCGGCCCCGCCGAGCTGGGGGAGCTGAGCGCGGGAGAGGACGAAGAAGAGGAGTCCGAGCGGGGCCCCAGGCCGCTGCTGCGCCTCGGCGGCCTCCGGAGCTCCAGTAAGCGGCCGCGGGGAGCGGGAGCGAGGGCAGGGGGCGCCTGCGGCCTGCCTGCCGGCCCTGCCCTCAGGCTCTTCTCCATTTGCTCCCCAAAGGTCGGCGGGAAGGGACGGAGCAGAGCCGCGTGCGCAGCAAGCTCAAGCGGCTCATCGCCAAGAGGCCGCCCCTGCAAAGCCTGCAGGAGCGGGGCCTGCTCCGGGGTACGGTGGGCTGGGCCGGCACTTTCCTCCTGGGCCTCGGCCTTAGCGTCCAGGCACCCACACTCTGAACTGGGCCTCAGCCCATTGCACGGATGAGGAAACTTCCAGCAAGCCCAGAGTAGAGCCTGGCCAGCTAGGCCAGCAGTCTTCTGCGCCCACTGCTTTTCTCACGGCTGCAAATGCCCAGGGCATGCATGGTGCACCTCCTTGCCGAGGCCTGCAACAGGAAGCCAGGAAAGGGGTGGCGGCCTTGGGCAACGTTGGGTGGAAACCTGTGCTGAGAGGAGCTTTCAGGGATCACTCTGCCTTCAACAGACCAGGTCTTCGGCTGCCAGTTGGAGTCACTGTGCCAGCGGGAAGGGGACACCGTGCCCAGCTTTGTGCAGCTCTGCGTTGCAGCTGTGGACAAGAGAGGTCATTTCCAGGAGACCCCAGAATCACCTCCTCCCTGCCTTCCAGCGGCCTGTCCTGGGACCGCTATCCCTCACCCACGCGTGCCCCTCCCCCCCCTTGCCTGTCCTCCCCACGCGCACCCTTACCTGCTCCCCCCTCTGGTCTAGGCCTAGATGTAGATGGCATTTACCGGGTGAGTGGGAATTTGGCGGTGGTCCAGAAGCTTCGCTTCCTGGTGGACAGAGGTGAGAGGGCTTACGGGGCAGGTGCCAGGACTGCACCTCAGGCTCAAGGCGGCTCCAGCTGGCTGGCGGGGGGCCTCAGGCCGGGACGGCGCATCTTACCTCTTGCTCTCTCCTCACACGTGTTGCAGAACGGGCGGTCACCTCTGACGGGAGGTACATGTTCCCAGAACAAACAGGACAAGGTGCTTGCATGGGCCTCTGTGTCCCCCGGGTCTCCCCCATCCCGTCTCCTGGAGGGTTTCCAACTCCGGTCTGCTGTCTTGCTCGGCTCTGGGTCTGTTCTTGTGCTTGGCCTTCACCCGGTCTTCAAACTCTGGCCCCCACCTTTGAGCCCCTCCGCCTTCTCGGGCGCTGACCGTCTCTGCCCTCCGCATCTTCAGAGACCCGGCTGGACTTGGACAGCGCGGAGTGGGATGACATCCACGTGGTCACGGGGGCCCTGAAGCTGTTTCTCAGGGAGCTTCCCCAGCCTCTGGTCCCGCCCCTGCTGCTGCCTCGATTCCGAGCTGCCCTCGGTGAGAGCTGGGGTCGGGTGAGGCCTTTGCGCTGAGGGGAGTCCTGAGCCCTAACAGCTCCGTGCTCTTCTGCCCCACCTGGCCTTGGAGCACGACCTGCAACCCACACACCAACTGCAGTTTTGTTTTGTTTTAAGATTTACTTATTTTCGCACACAAGAGCTGGGGTGCAGGCCAGAGGTGTGGGTTGAGGGTGGGGTGAGAGGACTCCCCAGGGACAGAGTGGGGAGCAGAACAGGCGGATCCACTGAAACCCACTGCTGGGGGAGCAGCGGGCAGGCAGGAGGGGGCTGCCGCGCCCTGGGGCCCCTCCCTGGCCGGGTGGAACTTGTGCTCAGTGGCTGCGGATAGATTGTAGAGCTGCGCCTTAACCCCTTGTGCCACCAGGCAGGGCCCTGCAATTTTTTTTTGGTGACTGTTCAGAGAACCGAATTAAAAAGAATTCCAAGGCTGAAAAAGAAAACAAGGGTAGATTAACGATGTCGGCCCGGGCAAGGCCGAGTCTGCCCAGCGTCCAGCACCGCCCTAACCTCACCCCTGGCCTTGCGTCCTCTCCCCAGCACTCTCGGAATCAGAGCAGCGCCTCTCTCAGGTGCAGGAGCTGATAGGCTCAATGCCGAAGCCCAACCACGACACTCTGCGCTACCTCCTGGAGCACCTGTGCAGGTCAGCGGGCCTGGCGCAGGGTCTGTCCTGCTCGTGCGGGAGCCATGTGCAGGGCCTGCAGGCAGCGGCTTGGGAGCCGGCCTGGGCCCAGGGACCGGGCAGGCAGGGTGCAGGCTGGGAAGCACCTGAGCTGATTGAGGAAACAGGCAGCTCTGTGCAGGGTCTTGGTGGGTCAGCATGGCCTGGGGAAATGGGGGCCAGGAAGCCCAGGGGTGCTGTGAGAGAATAAGGAACTGAGAAGCGGGAGAAACAAGAAATGCCAGTCTCCTTGCCTCCGCCCCTGGGCCTCCTGCGGGACAGCGGTGGTGGCTGGTGGGGCTGAGTGGGGTCTGGGCCACGAGACAGGATGGTCAGTGAGCAAAGAGGTCGCTGCGGGCAGCCGCAGAGGCTGGGAAGGAGCGGCCGCAGCATTGGGGAGTGTCCTGAGGGTCTCCGCGGAGCCCCCCTTAGATTTACGAGTGGCAAGACTGCTGCTCTGCTGACGGCGCCTTGACCCCGCCCGCAGGGTGATCGCGCACTCAGACAAGAATCGCATGACCCCCCACAACCTGGGCATCGTGTTTGGACCCACCCTGTTCCGGCCCGAGCAGGAGACGGCCGACCCCGCGGCCCACGCGCTCTACCCGGGGCAGCTCGTGCAGATGATGCTCACGGACTTCCCCAGCCTCTTCCCCGGACCCTGACCGGCCCGCGCCCCCGGGGCGCCCCCTTGTGGGGGGGGGGCGGCGGTGCTGGGCCCCTGGTAAAGCCTCTGGCTCCGTGACTGACGTGCCTAGCTCTGTGCGCCTGCCAGCCGAGGGCTGGGATGGGGCGGGGTGGGGCCTCCCCGCCCCCCCCAGGGAGCGATACCCCACGCCGGGCACTTTCTGATGCGGTTCCTTTATTGTCAGGAAACTGTCGTGATCAGACTCTTCCTCAGAACTCGTACAGACCGCACCCCCAGGCCACACCTCCCACCCCGGGACCCAGCCGGGATGTGGCTCCTCCCCCCACCCCACCTCTGTCCGTGGGGATGGAACCCCCTCAGGACCCGTGGCTCTGTGACAGGTGGGCCCCACTCTTCAGGCACTAGAGTTGAGGAACTGTGTCTCCCCGGCCAGAGACCCCAGCAGGACACTCATGTTGCCCACCGCCATGTTGGGGGCTCCAGCGGGGGCAGGGGGGTGTTCCGAGCCGTCTCCCTGGTCATGGGGAGGGGGAGGACTCAGCCCCTGGGGCTCGTCCAGAATAGCCACAAAGTCCAGCTGAGTGTTGTCAAGGTCGAGAGAGTCCAGGGGGTTACACACCTGCCCTTCAGGGGGCGGGTACAAGGCAGGCCCCCCGCCCAGCCTGCCCACCTCCGGATGGCCACAGCTGGGGTTGGTGCCCGCCGCCTTGAGGGGCCCATAGCAAGTGGGCAGTGGGGGCAGGAGCCGGGGCAGTGCTGCTCGGTGGGGTGCCCTGCTTGCCCCCGCGGCAAAGGTTTCATGGCAAGGTGAAGGGGGTGGGTAGGGGCCTGGCCTGTGACTGGGCAGGTTAGGTGGAAAGCCGGGCCCACATGGGGCCACTGGGGGCTTGACAGGGCTGGGCCCAATCTGGGACCCTCCTAGAAACTTGGGGGTCTGAAAGAGAGGCTCCTGGTCTGGAGGCTCCCCGCGGCCCCCGCCCTCCCACAGCAGTTCCTGTTGAGCCTGGACGTAGTTGCATACGAGCTGAGCCTTGAGCTGGCCCGTGGAATGAGTGGGGGACTCGAAGTCCAGGCCGGGCCTGGGCTCTGAAGGAAGGTAGTCGGGGCGAGGCTGGGGATACTGGGGAGGCGGGGGCTGGGGGTAGTGGGAGAACACGGGCTGTGGGTGAGGCCCCTCGCTGGGATGAGCACTGAGGCAGGGGGCCGGCCCTGTGGGGTCGGAACCCACCGGACACCCCTGTTCCGGCTTAACCTGCACCTGTCCGTAGTGTTCGAGACGAGGACACTGACTGTAGGCTCCGGCGGGAGCCTTGTGGCCTGGGTACAGCCCGGAGTGGGGAGGGAACGCACCCCAAGTGTCCGGGGTGGGGTCAGGATAGGAGACCTGCTGGGGGCAGGGGTTGGGGCCGTAGTGGGCAGGAGGACTGGGCCCCAGAGGCAGGGAGCTTGGACCCCTGGCTCCATAAGGCTCGGCTGCTTCGGGCCCCCCGTAGCCCAGGGGGTCAGCAGCTGGGAAGTCCACATAGGGGTTCACGCCGCTGCCCACCATGGAGCGCCCAGCCTCTGCCTCCTCCCGCAGCCCTCTGGCGTCCATGGTGACATCCTCAGTGATGCTGGGTGGCTGTGAGTAGACGGAGGCAGGGGCCAGGGGGTCGAAGTTCCGTCCTCCCGCGACCATCGCTGGGGGTGTGTGGACACAGCCCAAGCTCTTGAACCGCTGGACGCGGGCTGTGGCGGGCCGGTCGGGAGCCCGGGCCGGGTCGCTGGCCCTCCGGGTGACGCCCGCGCCGGGGCTGTACCCGGGGTACTCAGCTCGGTTCCTCCAGGGAGGTGCGGGAAGGACCCCCATTCGGTCCAGGCTGGGCGCTGCCGTGGGCGGGGTGCTGCCTCCCCTGGCCGAAGCGTATCTTGCCCGGAGCCCGTAGTGCTGGGCAGGTGTGAGGCCTGGCAGAGAGGACGCCACGTTTTCGGGCGGGGAGCCCGGGGGGAAGGGGGAGGCCAGGGAGGAACGGCGGCTGACGGTGTAGGCGGAGCTGACGCTGCTGGAGCTGCTGCCGCGGCGGTCGAGCGACACTGGGGGGCCCAGGCGGCGGGACGCAGGGGTACCTGCAAGTGAGGGTGCAAAGTGGGGTGTCAGGGAGGCTCCTGAATCTTCCCGCCGTCCTGATGGACACTCGTGTCCTGGAAGCCGGACAGCTCCTGAGGCTGACCACGCGGCCCGGGTCCTCCCCCTCCTCCTCCGCCCGTTCTGTTCGGGGCCGCCGGGATTCTGGGCTGCAGAACAGCTGCACAGGCCGCTCGCTGCCAGCCCCGCGAAGGCACTCCAGCAGGCTTCCTGGGGGGCAGCGACTTTCTGAGGGAAGGAAGGAAGGGAGGGAGGGGACCTTGCCCCAGCTGAACAGAGGTGCTGTCTGGCAGCCCTGAGGGCGACGATCTCCGTCCAACCTGCCGGAAGGTCCAGATCAGCCCAGCACGCAGACGCCCCACCCACAGCTCACCGGCGTGCGTCAAGCTGGGCAGTTTGAGGCCCCTGGGCCCTACGGGCCGGAGTTGATGGAACTGGTCCAGCCTGAGGTTCTCCAGGCGACGAAGCGTGGACAGACCGGTGCTAGTGACGCAAGGCCCCTCATCCAAACTGGACAGGTCCTCCGTGCTGCCCCCTGCGTTTCCGGTCATCTCCACACCGCTGTCGGTGTTGGCTGCGCTGCCTGCTGGGGAGTGGTCACTGCTGCAGGACGACTGCGCCCCGGGGCTGGGCTGTGGCTTCTGTGGGGAGATGAGGGTTGAGGACGCAGCCCCTCCCTTTCCACTGCCCCCCGCCCCCCGCCCGCCCCGGGATGGCCAGTGGCTACTGCTTGTGTTCCAGCCACTTCTGGGGCTGAGAGGAGGCCCAAAGGCACGGAGAGGCTGTGGGATGGAGACAGCCCCCGGCAGGAGCACTGGCCGCCCGCCGGGAGCACTGGCCGCCCGCCGGGAGCACTGGCCGCCTGGTGCAGGCTTGTGGTCCAGCTCTACCACTTTAGGCAATTTCTCTATGCCTGAGTTTCCTCACTGAGAATGAGGAAAGTTCCTCTCTCATGAAGTTGCTCTGAGGAGCACAGGAAATGAAACATCCTACACACTTTAGGACCACGTACCAAGGTCTGTGTGATGGCTGCACCAGCCCTTGAGCATAATCCTGCATTTAGGTCAAAGTTTTAGGTCTGGGGCGGGGGGTCTGGCCGCGCCTGGCAGAGGTGGGGGGGGCTCACCACGGCCCCCTCCGGCACGGCCAGTCTGCTCTCCTCCCTGGCGGGGCCTCCGTCCCGCTCCCTCTTGGGCTCCACCGGGGCGAGGGCCGGCGGCCTGGGCAGGGGGCCCTCGCCCCGGTGCCGCTTGGTCACGTGGGCGTCCGGCCCGTGCACCGTCTTGACGTGTTTTCGAAGCGAGCTGGGGTCTGTGTAGCGCTTGGTACAGCCAGGCAGCTTGCAGACATACGGCTTCTGTGGTGGACAGAGGACACCGGGCTCGAAGGGGGGTGGAGGGTAGGAGAGCCTGGGAGCGAGGAAGGGGGGGTTCAGGGTACCCACAGCATCCAAGGCAGTGAGGAGAGTGGGGGCCCTTGGAGTGAAAGATAAGATGTGAAGCACGGGGAGATGATGAGAGCAGACTTCCGGACCTGGGAAAGACGGGGGGCACCCAGGCCTGGGGCACCCCGCAAATTTAGCAGTGGAAGCCTTGGGGTCCCCTTGCCTCTAGTGACAGAGGAGCGGGGGGGGGGGCAGCACATGGGAATTGCCAGGGTGATGGATGCGCATGGAGGGAAACTCACCTGGCTGGAGGGGTGCGGGCTGGGGGATTTCTGAGGGCTCTGCCCAGGCCCGGGGGCGCGTGGTGGCGCTCACCTCGTTGGAGTGGGTGCGGTTCTGGTGCTTGGCGCGGTCGCTGGCGTTGCTGAAGGCCTTGCTGCAGCCCTCGTGCTCACACGTGTACGGCTTCTCGCCCGTGTGTGAGCGCAGGTGCGTCTTCAGGTTCTCGAGGCGCGAGTATGATTTCCGGCACCCCTCGAACTGGAGGACATGGGGCGAAAGGATCGCTCAGACAGCAGGATGTGGGTAATAGGGGAACCCCAAATCCCAAAGGGGACATCCACGGGAGACTGTAACTTAAGCTGAAGAGCATCGGGGCTTCAGGAGAGTCCCTGAAATTTGGGGACAAGGGCAGGCAAGAACTGGGGGGACTCGCTGTCTCAGGTGAGCCCTCTCACCCCCACACCTCTGGCCTACACCCCAGTTCTTGTACACATAAAGGTATAAATAAAGCTCTGAAGACTAAAAGAGAACTGGGATGTCAGAAAAGCTGGGGGCTGCAAGCACGCGGAGGTGATGCTCTGGGCCTCTCCGGCTGGGCAGGGGAGGGCGAGCCGCGCCCCGAAATGACCGATGTGACCCCATGGCCGCAGGGGCCGGCCTCGGCCTCAGCGGAGTGGGCCCTCAGGCTCGCAGGGCCCTCGCGGCCCACAAGAGCATGTTACTGCGTTTAAAAGCAAGGGGAGAGGCGCGCCCGGTCCGGCCGCGTTCCCGCGCGCAGCACCCACGCACGCTCTGGCGCTCTGGCGGCCGGACCGAAGGCGCCGGCGCTCACCGTGCACTTGTGCGGCTTCTCGCCCGTGTGTCTGCGCATGTGCACCACCAGCATGTACTGCGCCTTGAAGGGCCGCAGCTCCCGGGAGCAGCCCCCCCAGTGGCACACGAACTCCTTCCGCTCCCCGTGGATGTGCTCACTGTTGATGTGCTGCAGGAGAAGCGAGGGCTCTGAGGCCCCCAGGCCGAGCCCCGGGCTTCCTGGGCGCCCCCAGCCCCGCCACGTGCCTCCCTGCCCCGCCTGCCAATCACAGCCCGCCTGCCAATCAAGCCCGCCTGCCAATCAAGCCCGCCTGCCAATCAAGCCCGCCTCCGCCTCCGCCTCCGCCCTCGGTGGGCCAGGGTCCGCGCCAAGCCCCTGGTCCGCGCCAAGCCCCCGCTCCCCGCGCGCGGCCTGCGGAGTTCCAGGGTCCCGCCCCGCCCGCCGCAGCCGCCGCCGCTCACGTGCACCAGCTGCTCCTGACAGTCGAACTCCTGGCTGCAGCCGTCCCAGCGGCAGTCGGTCTCGTACACAGACTCCGGCTCAGGCTTCTCCTCTCTCTCCAGGTCCTCCCGCCCATCCAGCATCCCGAGCAGGGGGTCCTAGGGCCAGAGGCCACCCTGGTCACCGGGGTGGCAGCGTCTGCCGGGCCGGGGCTCCGGCGGTGAAGCCCCGCCGCTCCTTACCTGTGTGCCCGCTGAGTTGGGGCTGGACATGTCGCCTTCCAGGGGCTCCTCAGGGCACTTGGTGACCAGCACGTCCAGTTCAGACTTCAGCTTCCCCAAGGGAAGAGGCGAGGGTGATGAGGACAGACGTGGGCAGGAGGGAGAGGGAGCCCAGCCAGGGCATCCAGCCCTGAGTGCCCCCCCCAGCAGCTGGAACCCCAGGGGTTTGGAAGAGATTTCCTCCTCAGACTGCACTGGAGAACGGGATGGGCAAACGCGGGCTCTCTGTGGAAGAGCCTGACCGGCCAGTGGATCCCAGCACCCCCACCCTTGGGTTTCCCTGCTTCTGACAACCTGTCTACCCCGCCCTCCCTCACCGCCCCTTGTAAGTAAGGTCCACCCCACCCACCCCAGGCGAGGGGGCCACCCGGTGGCAGCAGGCGGACTCTCACCTGGCAGGTTGGAAGGGGTCCCCGGGACTGAGGACGCGGCATCATCCCCCCCTGGGTGGGGTTATGGGGCCCACAGGACTGGACCCCATAGGAAGGCGAGGTCCCTTTTTGGTGATTCATCGGGGGTGGGAACCCCAGAGACGGGCTGAGGAGGAGGGGGGGCGGTTACTGGGGACCTCCCAGTAACTCTCCCGCGCTTGGGAGGGTTTCTGGGAGCCAGAGAGTGGGAAGTGGCTGAGGCGGAGCCAGGGTGGAAGGCCAGGGCGGCAGGGCCTC